CTAAAAAGCAAATTCTTTTGAGTTACTCTCCTGTTTAATTCTGGATTTGCCCAGTTGAAGTAAATAAGGAAACTGGTTTTCTTACATCCTTATTCCATGACTTAAGAAAGCACCATTCATCACTGGGTCTCATCTTTAAGTGCAGAAAGGGAAAGGTCAGAGACTTGACCTAGATGGACACCAAGGTCCCTTCACACTCAGGTATTTTACACTCTAGGAAGGGAAAAAATGGCACAAGCCAGGACTTTATAACGACTATCCATTGCCCGAAGGACTGTGAGTGTTTAGTAAAAAGACCAATATTTCCCTCTAGTGGTGAGTGGACAGCAGTGACTTGCCTTTCGAGAGATTCTGTTCAAAGTGCTTTCAATGTGGGATGCACAATTGAACAACTAAATTAGATGATTCTAGGTAGTATGTTGAGAAACATTTAATAATTTTAGTATTGAGGATTTCAATTTAATAAGTATTGGAAGAAACTAGATGAAATGGTGCATCAGACTCAGCGATTAGAAGGATATCTTTGTTCTTGCAAAGAAAGGCAATTGACAAAATGCAACTAACATATGGGGGCTTCTCAGATGGCTCAGTGGTAAAGAATCCGCCTGCTAAGCGCCAAAGAATTGATGCTTTTGAACTGTGGTGTTAGAGAAGACTCTGGAGAGTCCTTTGGACTGCAAGGAGATCTAACCAGTCCATCCTAAAAGAAGTCAGTTCTGAATATTCATTGGAAGGACTGATGCTGAAGCTGAAACTCCAATACTTTGGCCACCTGATGTGAAGCACTGACTCATTTGAAAAGACCCTGATTCTGGGAAAGATGAAGGTGGGAGAAGAAGGGGACGACAGAGGATGAGATGGTTGGATGGCGTCACCCACTCCATGGACATGAATTTAGGTAAACTCCAGGAGTTGGAGATGGACAGGGAGGCCTGGCGTGCTGCAGTCCATGGGGTCGCAAAGAGTTGGATACGACTGAGCAACTGAACTGAACTGAAAGGAGGAGATGCGTGTTCAGTCCCTGAGTTGGGAAGATTCCCTGGAGAAGTAAGGGCAATCCACTCCATTTTTCTTCCCTGGAGAATTCCGTAGACAGAGGAACCTGGTGGGTTACTGTCCATGGGCTTACAGACACAAGTGACTGAGCACACATTCATGCAACAACTAATATATAACAGTTAATAGGGATGGCAAAAGTCTTGAAGAGAAAGCTTAGAAAATGAGTTTTAATATAATTTTTATTTTTATGAGAAGTATATATGCATGTATTTGAAAAGGATCAAATAGTTATATGATTTATTAATAGAGGTCCCATCCCACCCTAGACACTGTCTTCTTCCTAAAGGCAATGGCTTGCAACATTTTTTAGCCAACTATTTGCATCCATATTTTCCAACTGGGCTCCCCTGATGGCTCAGAGGTAAAGAATCCACCTGCAATGAGGGAGACTTGCAGGAGAATTGATTTGATCCCTGGGTTGGGAAGATTCCTGGGAGAAGGAAATAGCAACTTACTCCAGTATCCTTTCCTAGATATCCCCATGGACATAGGAGCCTGGCACGCTGTAGTCCATGGGGTCGCAAAGAGTCAGACCTAACTAAGCGACTAAACAACAACAACAATTTTCAAGTGGCACAATTATACATTTAGATTTTTCTGTTTTAGACATTATTCACTGACTTCCCAATACAAGGAAATTTGCTTCTTTTATCCACCACCTCATCGCTACCCCTCTTTTTTTCTCTTACTCTTTCACATATTTCCTATTGCTATTTCCCCACATATTTACCAAGCAGTTTTGTCTGGTTCAGTACCCAGGATTAGATTATTATTTTTACGTATGTACTTTTCTTAGTTGACCCATACAGTACAATGTGATCACCTTCACTTTCCTGCAGAATATTTAGCCATGAAGTTGGTTTTGTACTTTTGTTTTTTTAGGGTTTTTTTTTTGCTAATTTTCTTTGTGGATATGTGTGCATGTGTGTGTGCTCAGTTGCTCAGTCAGCCTCCCGGACGCTTCTGTAGATGAAATTTTCCAGGCAAGAATTCTGGAGTGGGTTGCTATGCCCTCCTCCAAGGGATCTTCCTGACTCAGGAATCAAACCCATGTCTCTTTTCTGTCTCCTGCATTGGCAGGTGGATTATAAATTCAACTCTGGACTCCTGCCAGTTGTGTAAATCCCCTTTGAACACAAACAAATAACTCAGAAATTTTAAAAGTGTCATCTTCTTACCTGGGAATACTCCTTGCCTACCCCTCCCTGGCCTGAGCTCTAGCTGGGGTTTGCTGAGCAGACAACCCTATCATCGCCTTTCACTCTGGGGACGGATTTCTACCCTCTCTTGTGTTGTGGCCACTTATTTGGATCTTTGGTCTCGTTGTATCCTCTCTGATGGTTTATATCCTTTATCAGATAGAGCAAATCAAATCTACCATGTGATTTCTGGGAAAGAATACACGTTTGGAAATTTTATGATCTTGCCTGGCTGAACATAGCTTTTTTGTATCTCCATATGAAATCTGTAGATTGTGCTTAAGAGTCAGGGGACAAACCATTTTCCCTTAGAAGCTTTAATGTGTTTCTCCATCTTCTTCTACCTCCCAGTGTTGTGTTGAGAAGTATGACATTATGGATTCTTCATCCTGTATCTAAGTATGTCCCCCACTTCTGTAATACCTGGCCCCTTGTCTAGAAGCATGTGAATTTTTTTTTTCTCCCTCTAATGTTCTAAAACTTCTCAGTGATGTGTCTTGGTGTAGGTTTGTTCCTATGCACTACACTAAACCCTTTGAACAGAAATTCATGTGCTTCAGATTTGCAAAGTTGTTTAATTATCTCTTTTATTCATCCTTTAGCTTCAAATTTTCTGCTCTCTTTGATTGGAATTCCTAGTATTTGTATATTGAGTCTCTTTGATTTGGTACTTTTTTTGTTTCATCCGTTTTCTATTTTGTTTCTTCTGTTCTGCTTTTTATGAGACTTATTAAATTTTATTTTCTGCTGTTACTATTCATTTCTTCTCTCATATTTTCTCCTCATTCATATTTATCATAATTGTAAGAACTTTTTTCTTTTTTTTTTTGCTCTTTGGAAGTTCCTGTTTCATAGCTTCTTGTTCTTGTTTTGTAGATTTCATATATTCTTTCCTGCCTTGGAAGATACCAATGATAGAGTTTTAAGTTCTTTGTGTGTGGTTTCTCTTTCTTCTAATTTGTTTTTTTCATCTTTCTTTAGTCTCTGACTTTTACATTATTTTTTCAAAGTCAGTTAATCTGGCTGATTTCCAGTTTACAGGATAGGCACTAATATCCGATTAGCATTTCATGTATGTTAGTGGGTTTTTTCATCTTAGGAAGATCAGCTAGCTATTTTCACTGTCCAAACCCTGAAGCCAATACTCTTGTACTAGGTCATTTCTCTTGAACTTGTCCAATTGTCCAGAGAGAACTCTTTCACTCTCCAGAACCTAAGTCCAACTGCCAGCATGCAAAACTCAGAGCAGGGAGAAGGCAGGGAAGCCTCCATGTCTCAACACTAGGTATGTAACATTTTACTTGATTTCCCTGTTTTCACTATGGTACCCCCATCTTTGTGCCTAATGATACCTGGCGTTTGTCTTCCCAGAGACTCTTCATCTTCTTTAGGGAGTAAGTTCCCCTTTTCTGTTGGGATTCATGGAATTCTGTTTGAACAGAGGAAAGAAATCTAGTACTTGGATGGCTTTTCAGCAGGTTTTAATTGTTCCTTTTGCATTTTGCCTAACCTTGTCTCCCATTCTCAAAGGTATATGATGCTGCCAGTTTCTAAGGCTTTTGGGAGTTCTGTAATGTAAGTTAAGTTGCTTCTTGGCTTCCTTCACTGCCAACTATTAAGAGTCTATTTTTGTGGATCTGCTTAGTTAGTTACTACAACTCAGGCATCTGCTTTCTGGCTTCCAGTATTCTCTCCTCACAGTCCTTATGAATTTATGCCTTTCAAAATAATTTACTTAGGCTTTTAGTGCCTTTTTTGTTTTGAAGAGGAGTGATTGGGAGAAGGGAAGGAAAGTAAAAGCGTAGGTAACGTGTGTGTTTGTGGGCATACTTGTGTGTTCTATCTGGAAGTCTCATAATTAATTTTTTATAGAATTCCTTTTTTTATTCCCTAGCAAAGCATATTTAGCAGGAATTTTTCTAAAATGTGACATAAAAATGAAATATTTGAAAAACAGCATTTGCATGAAATACCTCTGAGTGTTCTATGAAAAACACCTAAATGTTGGCAGATTAAGGGCAGGAGGATAAGGAGGTGACAGAAGATGAGATGGTTGGATGGCGTCACTGGCTCAATGGACATGAGTTTGAGCAAACTTTGGGAGATAGTAATGGACAGGGAAGCCTGGCATGCTGCAGTTCATGGGGTCACAAAGAGTCAGACACGACTTAGCAACTGAATAATGAACAAGCATGATCTTCACAGCCTCCGTGGAGTCATAGGAGGAGGAAAAGATTTCCTTAGAGTCCCCACTATTGTCAAGAACTATGCTCTATTCCTTATGATATGTTACACATTTCCTTTAATTCAGCAACAATTCCATATTATTACCCTTGCTTCATAAGGAAGGAACTGGAGGGAAGCTCATAAGCTAAAAACAAACAAAAATCATATAGCTATTGAATAAAAAATAGGAGATTCAGCTAAGCTTTTCTTGAAAGCAAAGCTCATAATCTCTTCCTCTCCAGCAAACTGAAATTCATTATGTGGCTGAAGCATGGCAAAGTGACTGAATAGTGCCCCACTATTTACAATTACTGAAATTCTTCCTTGTCACAGACTCATGCTTGACTTAAAAGAAGGAAAAGGATAGCTGGGAGTGTGGTCTCTGATTGGGAACCACGCTTACTCATTCTGTGACCTTGGGCACATTACTTCACGTTCAGGGCCTCAATTTCTACATGAGTAAAACAAGGTCATCAGAATAAATGGGCTGTTACATTCTGATGATCTCTCTTGCAGATGGTGAGCTGGAGGTGCTGAGAGCTTCAAGTCAGAGGGGAAGTCAAATACTCGGCCACCCTCTAACTCTCTATTTATACTTTCTGCGAGAAACTTCCCAACTGATAGTCCGACCGCCTTCCAAACGCCAATGGGCATGAAATATGGTTTTCCCCTAAGTCCCTCTTCAGAACTGGATCTCTCTCCCCTTCGGGGACTGCAGGGTCTCGTCTAAGCTCAAGGTAAATAAATACTCCAAAATGTGGAATAGAAATGGAAGTCAAAGGAGAGACTGGAGAAGGGAGGTAGCAAAACTTGGACCTTTTACCATATGGCCTCAGCACTTTTGATTATTTTATGAATGCACGAGGTGATGCGTTGGTTTCTTCAAAGCCATGCTGTACATGCCTTTCAGGATTATAATACATGTGAATTTAAATAATGAGGTAATTGGATATAATGACTGAAGCAGTGATTCAGGAAGTAGACCTCAAATTATTTATAATAATAATTGTTACTAATGCTTGTATGATATTACTAAAGCAACATTAAAATGTTAATAACTTCCATTTGAGAGATAGAAGCCACTATGCATATAATTTTTCCTGAGCCACTTGTGTGCCAAATGAGGAATCTAAGATTCAGAGAGACAATGCAACTTGAGTGAAAATTTGGCCAAAGTTATGTTAATTCTTGGGCTTCCCTGTGGCTCAGACGGTAAAGAATTTACCTGCAGTGTGGAAGACCTGGGTTCGATCCCTGGGTTGGAAAGATTCCCTGGAGGAGGGTGTGGCAACCCACTCCAGTATTCTTGCCTGGAGAGTCCCATGGATTTTAGAGTCTGGTGGGCTACAGTCTATGGGGTCACAAAGAGTCGGACATGGCTGAGCAACTGAGTACAGAATATGTTAATTCTTAATTCAATGATTTCATCTAATGCTTCACTGCTCTGTTGTTGGTTGTATTCATCCATCTCCCTCTAAAAAATGCCCTAGTGCTGATTTATAACTGTGATTGATGTCTATATGATTGGATATTTTTAGTTTTGCTAGTTTCTTTGATTAATAATGGTATTCTAGGCAAAGTATTTAGGTTATGAATGGAGAAAATAGATCAAAGAGGCAGGATGCTATAATCCTTATTTCACCATCAGAAGTCATCTAACCACAATTGTGATGATATTAGTAAAATGAAATAAGAGTATTTTGTGTCATGGCATAAATATATTCTTTTTTAAAAGCTTGTTTTCATTTAATAACTCTATTATCTATGTTTATTCTGGGAATATTACATATCAGATATTGACTATGTGTTTTGGAAGGATTATCTCATTAAATTGTCATAACATTAAAAGAAGTAGGTGGAACTCTTTTTCTCATTCCTCGGAGTTCAGGGAGGTGGCTGAGTTTCTCTAGATCTACACATGGTGTTTGACAGAGTTCAAATATAAACTCAGGCATATCTGTTCTGGAAGTCAGGGTCTTTACTTCTGAGCTACACTTCCAAAATGTTCCCCTAAACTGCTAAATTTTACATGAAGCACCCTTAAGAAAGATTTCATACATATTTAAGGTGTGTCATATGATTTAAGTTTTGCCAACTTTATCACCACTATTTAATTCAAACCAAGTATTCTATTTATTTTGGTGGCTATTTCAGCATCCTGATCTCTACTTTTCATCTTATGTGTCAATATGGGTTGACTCCAAAGTTGTCTGTGATTTCTTAGTTTAGTCTTTACTTTAGGGAACATTATTATTATTATTATTATTATTATTATTTTAGCCCCAAACCAACTTATTTCAAACTTTGGTGCTCTGAAATATTTTATTGACACCTCATCCTCATCATATTAGTTTACATCTTAAAACCTGAATTCTCTTATCCTTCAATTTCTTTATCAGAGAGAAAAGATCTAAACTCCATCATTTGAGAATTATATAAATAAGTAATTTATTCAACTTCTTTGTATTTCAGTATCATTCATTGAAAAATAGATAAAAATAAGATCAAATAAGGTAATTGATTCATTCTTTTTCAGTTATTGATCATTAGCATAGAAAATTATAATTAAATGTTCACTGACAATAAATTAATTTCTTAGTGTCAAAGAGATGAGGATTCAAATACTGACTTTGTCCCTTATTAAATAATTTCAGGAATATTTTTCTCATCATCATTTATGGAAAGCAGCACTACTGTCACTTCTACTCCAGGTGGTTGGGTGAAATGGTAGCGCAAGTGGGGAAGAATAAACCACAATATCTGCCATTTCTCATTCATTCATCCAAACCTATTTATCCCCAAGACCAAGACTGCTTCTTTCTAGTATAAGACCTTGTTACAGACTAAGCCGACTGGTAATACAATTGGTTTTACAAGCTAAGCAATTCCAACCGTATTGAAATCATTCCCCTGAAATGCTTTCTTTCCCATTCAACACTGCTTGTTTACGTGGTGTCGGATCAGATGGAAGAAAGAAGAACAAGGTGATTCATGATTTTCTTCCAAGGAGACAGCTGCAACATAAACGATGTCTCAGGAAACAGAATAATCTGTTTGTGTGGCCACAACTCTGTGAACTCTGACCTGTCTTAATCTTCAGGGGTGGATATGTGTGTCACTTTTGCCCCCAGGTGGAAATGAATGTTGAAAAACAAAACAAAACAAAACATTATGTATTTGTATATTTTTCTTATATCATTGCAGATAACTTGAAAACCCTTGGTATATGTTTCAAATTTTTCTTTATTGAACTCAAGAGTTCACATCTCCTGCTTTGCAAAAGTAACAGGGATTGTCATGAAATCCCATCTCTCTTGAGGATTTGGGATGCTCTCGGGTATCTGCCACAGTAAGAAAACAAGCTGAAGGAATGTGGAAACACGAAGCCATCTGGCTGCCGGTCCACTCTCACACCGGCTCTAGGGGTCACTGAGAGCCCTCCAAGGGCTGTTGAGACCCATTTGATCTCATCCCAGCAGTGCCCGGACATGTGTACTCAGATCAGCGGATTGTCTCCAAAATTGGGCAAAGCCTTAGAGAAGATTTGAATCAGGAAACTTGAAAGCATGTGCTTGGAAACTGATTTCAGTCCCCTTGTTGTTTAGTCACTAAGTCATGTCCAACCCCATGGACTACATACAGTGCACCAGGCTCCTCAGTTCTCTACTATCTCCCGGAGTTTGCTCAAACTCATGTCTATTGAATCAGTGATGCTATCCAACCATCTCATCCTCTGTTGCACCCTTCTCTTTCTGCCTTCAATTTTTCCTAGTACCGGGGTCTTTTCCAATGAGTTGACTCTTTGCATCAGGTGGTCAAAGTGTTGGAGCTTCAGATTCAGCATCAGTCCTTCCAATGAATATTCAAGGTTGACTCCCTTTAGGACTGACTGGTTTGGTCTCCTTGCAGTCCAAGGGACTCTCAAGAATATTCTAAAGTTCCACAATTTGAAAGCATCAGTTTTCTAGTGCTCAGCGTTCTTTATGGTCCAACTCTTACATCTGTATATAACTACTGGAAAAACAGTAGTTTTGACTATTACAGACCTTTGTCAGCAAAGTGATGTCTCTGCTCTTTAATACACTGATCACTGATTCAAGGGATGTGAACTTGGGCAAACTCTGGGGTCTGGTGAGGGACAGGGAAGCCTGGCGTGCCGCAGTCCATGAAGTCATAAAGAGTTGGACACTATTTGGTTACTGAACAGCAACAGGTTCCTCACAAATTTCTTTTCAAGGAGTAAGCATCTTTTAATTTCATGGCTAATCCCAAGTCCAAAGCACTCTGAATAATTTCACATTTTATTATATTTTTTAATTGAAGTATTTCAATTTTTTAATTGAAGTATAGTTGATTTATAATGTTATGTTACTCTTAGGTTCAGTTTCAGGTATGTGTATATATATATATATATATATATATATATATATATATATACACAGAGAGAGAGAATTCTATATTCTCTACTATAGCAGGCATTGGCAATATGGGATGGTATGTAAAGAAAGGTTCCAGCAGAGACAGGTTAAGACAGATTTGTTCAGAGAAGAGAAGATGGGTACCTGTTTAGTTCAGAAAGATCCAAAGTGACTAGACCCGTCATTTCTTAAAGAACTAATGAACACATAATTATATTTTATACTCTGTGTACTACCAGGTTCCCTGGGGGCTCAATGGTAAAGAATCTGCTTGGAATATAGGAGACATTGCTCCCATCCCTGAATTGGGATGATCATAGACCTAGAACCCCACAAGGAACAAAGATGGCTTTATTTTCTCTGTTTTCTGAATGATTGCCAATGTAAGTCTTTGTTCTATCTACCCAAGACATCACAGAAGCCTACAGATGACACCATAAACTTTTAACCTCCCTTTAAGAGCTGCCAACTGATTTAGACTTCCCTGGTGACGCATTCGGTAAAGAATCCACCTTCAATGCAGGAGACCCGGGTTCAGTTCCTAGGTCGGGAAGATCCTCTGGAAAAGGGAATGGCTATTCAATCTAGTATTCTCGCCTGGAGAATTCCATGGACAGAGGAGCCTGGAGGGCTACAGTCCTTAACATCACAGAAAGTTGGACACAACTGAGTGGCTGACACTTCTTTTTTTAATAGAGTTGTAGAAGAGCTTGAATACTAGGATGAGCTAGAATCAGAGAGTCTGGGAAGGTGTGCTATAAGTAGATAATGCATTTGGTTTTCCATTGAAATACACGTTTTTCTCTACACCAGGAATCCTAGGTATCGAGTAGCATTTGGAAGCAGACACTCACCACTTAGAGTGTCAGGGCTAAATATCAGTGCAGATGTTCACAGATCAGGAAAAAGACTGTGTAGGAATCTAAAGAGACAAAGGTGAGAAGGAATCTAAAGTCAGGGAAAGCCAGGAAGAAAGATATCTTCTCTCTGGCTGGTTTGTATCAGAGAATTGACAAAATCAAGCCCTATTAGGGCTGGCAGAGTATGGAAAATTGTCCAGCCCATTTGTGCTATGGATGAAGAGACAGAGGTGCCTATGGTTGAGATGATGTGGTCCAGCCACCCAGCACCAGGCTGGGATCCACCAGTACAATTCTTCTTTATGACATTTGCGGTGTTGATACCTTCGCCCTCTTCAAAGCAGTACTTTTAACCTGGAAAGATCACATGAAAAAATGAGGTGAAAGTTGGAATAATCAGCTTGGGTTCTGCTCCCTGAACCCAGGAAGCACTTTCAGAAGCCCTGCTCCTGTGTTATTTGCTGGATCCTTTCTGCTCTTTGTCTCCTAGCTCATGCCCTTCTTTCTACCTCGAGCATGGTGCTTTCCACTGTCCAAACCATCTTCGTCCCAAATGTTCCATTCTCCTCCAAACTCCAGGGGTTTAATCAGTAGCTTTATTTGTGCCCAAGCTTTCTCTTCCTCTATTGGATGCAAGCAAATATCTTTTTATCTCTTTTTCTGGCCGCATGGCATGTGAGATCTTTTTTCCCTGACCAGGGAATGAACCTGCAACTTCCTGAATTGGAAGCTCAGAGTCTTATCCACTGGACCGCCTGAGAAGTCCCTCAAGCAAATTTCATAAGGGAAGGATCCATATCTGATGAATATTTTCTTATCTTTTAAGTCCAAGGAAAGTTGTGTCTTTATTTAATCTCTGCACATGCTTTGGGGGACCATGCCTATGCCCTAAACAGCTAACACAGGGCCTGGAATATAGTAGGTGCTTATTAAATATTGTTAGAATGAATCACATTCATGAATATTTCATTGCACATATTTGTTTAAAATTTTTGAAGAGCTTGGGATTCTTGGTGCCTGGGTGTGGTCTTAAATGTGGAGGTGGGAGAGAATAGTGAGAGAATCTGGGCATAATTCAAGAGCTGGATAAAACCTCTTCCTCCTCTGACCACCTCATCCTTTAGCTTTTCTTCCGTAGCAGGGTTCATTTAAGCAGTTTAGCTTTTACTTAATTTGAATCAGCTTACTTAAACTGAATCAGAAGAAGACTCACAGACACAGACAGCAATCTAGTGGTTATCAGAGGGACAAGGGAGTGGGGAGGGACAATAAAGAGGCAGAAAAGTAAGAGGTACAAGCTATTAGACATTGAAATAAGCTTTGTTATTCTTGTTGATGGGCTTTCTGGGTGGCTCAGTGGAAAAGAATCCACTGGAGCAGAGGAAAGAAAAGGAAAGTGGGATGGAGAAATTGCTCTGATTAAGGCAGGTGGCCCTAGCTTCTTTGAGGCAGCTATGACTGCTGGCATGGACAGTGAAGGCAATGCTAAAGAAACCTAGCTGGAATAGATGTATTTCTTGAGAGTTCTAAGCTTTCCACACACATGCAAAATGTAGACATCTAAGCAAAAATGTTGTTAAAAAAAACAAATAGGCATTACCTATCAAATCCCTTGGCTTCCCTGGTGGCACGGTGATGACAATCCACCTGCCAATGTAGGAAACCTGGGTTTGAATCCCCAGGTTGGGAATATCCCTTGGAGAAGAAAATAGCAACCCTCTCCACCATTCTTGCCTGGAAATCCCATGGACAGAGGAACCTGGCGGGCTATAGTCCATGGCTTTGCAAAGAGTTGGACGTGACTTAGTGACTAAATAACAACAAAAACCAACAATCAAATCCCTTAAGTGTACATTTTTTTGAGGCACTAAGAAAGGTGCTTACATAAGTAGCTGCTTCTGATATGGTGTTTGTTGCTGTATTGATATTTATTAATGTCAAGGCAATACATCTATGATCTGCCAACTTATTTAAGCCCTAGTTGCTTCATTTGCAAAGCAGAAAATGTAACACTTATTTTGTGGATTGTCAGTTGAGATAATAAATAGAAAGCAGCTTCAGAATTGCAGTAGATGCTCAAAACCACAATATCTTTGGTATTATAGTGATTGTTTCCTAAAAGTTAAGCATCCCCAGTGTCTACCAAGTGGTTCGCCATGATGAAACCTGCTGCAGTGTGGAGAGGCAGAGAACCCAATCAGCTCTTGTCAACAAGGCCCAGGATGATAAATTAAGATGAAGCCAGTGGGTCTGGTATGATGGCTTCTTGGGGCTCATCTTGAAGTGCTTCGGTGAGGTCTGTTTTGTTTTGCTCTGTTTGGGATCATTTCTTTTGCCACTCCAGCTATGTAAAGATAATAATCGCACCAATAGAACCGGTGACCTTTCACCCTCTCTCCCTTTGATAAAGTCTCATTTTCTAGCAAAACTATGACAAATGCCTCTTCCTTCACCTCCAGAAACTAGCAGATAATCTGTCTATTATGCTTAATATTCTCTTACCCCTAACAGCCATTGGTATTTGGTTTGGATTCCTCTGAATGGGGTGAACATTATATCTCTAACCTATGAAAAAGTTTTGCTCCTTTGCAATGTTGGTGGAGCTAAATTTGTTTTCACAGCTGGTTGTACTTGGAGAAGGGTTAGCCGCCGTCTTGAAGGTTCTACCACACCAGTTCATCACTGAGCCTGCTGTGTGGTGGGGACTTTGAGCTGTTAACGGGAGGCGTGGAGGGAAGTCTAAATTAATCATTTATGATTTATTTATTCTTTTTTCCATCATGGAGTAAAATGAGCAGATGCCAACATTTCTAGAGCCAGGACTGTCTAGATGATGTGATGT